CAGCTTCCCCACTTTTTACCACCAAAAAAACAGGCGGTCGGAAACCAAACAGCCCCCAGCTAGTTCTTTATCAAAGCCATTTTCACATGATAAATTTGACCAATTTTGTGTGTGTGGTGGTGGGGGGCGGGGGTGGGGGCGGACTCTTAAGGCGAGGAGGATTGTCCCTCATTCAATCTCCAAAGAACGACAAAATAAAATAAAATAATGGAAAACTTTAGAGGAGTGAACTCTGTATTCTGTTATATTTTTTTGTCATAATGGCGCCACGTTGGAGTGTTATTATTTTCTTGTGTGGAAAGCGAGGTGTTGATTTATCAGTAATTTACTGACAAAAAAAAAAGATTTATGAGTAATTTAAATTTTTTTAAAATATACACTATGCTCACGTGTGCTTCGCATGTACCTCGTGCTCTGGTTTAAAAATGGCGTGAGTACATTTTCTTATTTAGTCCTCGATAAAGCTACATTTCCGAGCGGCGGAACTGCGGTGACCTGATCCTGTCCCTTTTATTTAACCTAAATATATATATTTATGATATATGGTCCATAATGATATGTGTAATTATAAACTTTTTGTATGTTATTATTGCAAACTAGTTTTCTTGTAAATTTATTTTTTTAACAAAGTTGTGGATGTTGGATTTAAATCTAATTAAATCTATTTGTGGGCACATATGATTAATCAATGTGTATTACTATCTTTAAGGATAACCCACTTAAAGTGATCAATCAATTTGGGTTAATAGGTATTTAAATAAATCATGGGGGTTATATGTGCAGATACCAAGTTGTAATTGTAATTTGATGAGGGGCCAAATTATAAAAGTACAACACCTATATATAAGGGGTTATGGTCCCTAATCTAGGGTTAACCACTCTCATTCTCTTATCCCCATCTAAAGAGATCCATAAGAGAGAAACCCTAAGGTTAGAAGATCATCAAAACCCTAATCAAGTTTTCTTCAATGGATTCAGGTATATGCTTCCGCACCTTTTGATTCTTGTTAATCTCTTTGAATTAAATCATGGCTTTATGGTTTAGATCTCAAGTTTTTATTAGATCTAACAAGTGGTATCAGAGCCACCATTGATTTGTTCTAAGAGATTAAGATTAAAATTAGGGTTCTTTGATCTTAATTTGTGTTTGATTCGGATTCGTTCACGGATGAACAGTAAAGTTTCTTATTTTCGGATGAACAGTAACCGTTTTATTTTCGATGGACAGTAAATTTTTTAATTTTTCGGGGGAAAAAAATTATTTTCGGATGAACAGTAAAGATTTTTATTTTCGGATGAATAGTAAAATTTTCATGTTGTTTGGTTTTTCTTTCGATTTTTGGATCTGTAGCATTTATGAACTCTAAAGTTCATTTCTTTTGTGTTTGATTCAATTTTTGAGGTTTGGATCTAAATGATTTGAATTCAAAAATCGACAGAAAAAATAATTATCTTTTTTTTGGGGATTTTTTTTAATTTGTCGTCAATCTCCAAACTCCTCGTCGGAGTTGATTCAGCGGCGGCGGTTTCAGATTAAACCCTCAAGGGGTTCGTGCACGTGAAAACGTGCTAAAATTAAGGAGGTGGTTACCTCAATTTTTGGCGAGAAAACTTGCTAAAATTAAGGAGGTGGTTACC